CCCTCTCTCTCATTTTCCTCGACCAACATATCCTATACCACTACACGGATCGCGCAGTCCATTCTCTATGTCTTTGTTATGGCCTTACGAACTCTACTGTGATTGGTCTATCGCTTACTGCTTACGTTTTACTGCTTAAGTTTTTTTGTGTGCCATGGCCCTTACTCTCAGGCAATCCTTTGGAGATGCTCGCATAGACATCGCGTGTTTTATCTAACTGGATAACGAAGAACGTACATTGAATGGAAAAATCATTCTTAATCTGAAAATATCGATATTTTTGTCCAATTATATGGAATATACTATATATACACTTAGCTAATTAACTCTCTAATAAAAACGTGCGTATTTCATAAAAAAATTTACTAAATTTTAACAAATATGTTTCGGTGGTACTAACGAAATATTTATTAAATATATATTTATTTGAAATTTAGGTATAATTTTTTTATTTTGAGTAAATATTTATTTACTGTAAGTAAATATTTGAAATAAATATTTATTAAAATTTAGCATTTTTTTCAATGTATTCAATTTGATGAATGTGCTTATTCAGCATCCTTCACTTAAACTACCCGTCAGATTTTGTTGCAGGCTAAATTTCATGCTATTTAGATGCCTACGAAATTTCCGTTCCTTGATACATTATATTTATTACATCGAATGCAACGTGTAATATCTATTGTGAAACTCAGAATCAGATGATAGATTGAATAACTTAATGTTGAAAAAAGCTAAAAACGAATCTGCTTCGAAATTCAGTGTGATCTTTACGCAAATAAAGCATATAATTTGAAAACACTGAATATGATTCTTTCATATCAAATATGAATAAACGAAACTCAGAATCAGTTCAGCGGCTACTCTTTTATAGAGCCGTATTAGTAGTCAAAACTTAAGTCGGAAATATAATTCATGTAAAGATTTGTGTTATTTTTTTCGAATTCGTCTTAATTATTTCTAATTTTTAGTCGGAACCGATATGATTTCCTTAGAAACGAAAATATATTTTTAACATTCACAGCCTCCACGCGAGGATGTCAAATATAACATATCTTTAATACATATTTAATATTATTGAATAACATATTTTAAATAAAATACATATTTTTTAAACATGTCATTTTGAAAGTAAAATAACAATTTGAATGTTAAAAATTACATTTTTAGAAGAAAGAAAAAGTTTTTTTCTTGATTAACTGTATCAATCTTGTAATTACTGTACATTTTTAAATAAAAATAATGTTTAAAGAATATAATTTTAATTAAATCATCGATGCTTGAGGTAAAGAATAATATAAGAGTATAAATTCAGTTATGATAAAAGTATTTATTATAAAAATTTTTATTTTTTGCTACTTTATATCATTGTTTTTATATAAAAAAAGTACTTGCGAAATGTTTTGAAATATTTTATTTAGAACTTTTTATTAAGCAATTTTGTTTGCCTTTCCATAATAATACACTACACATTTAGATAGATAAATAAGAACGACTTGCTTTGTATTTTTTCTTCTAAACGTTATTTGATTAATGCACAGTAATTACAATATATTTCGCTACAATATATGAAATTATATGTAAAAATATAATACAAACGCTTAATCTATAAAATATTTAACATTTATACCCAGGGTCGGGTAAATTAACTTTTTTAAAAACTTTTTTAAAACTAAAAATTACGTTAAAGTTAACCTTAAAAATTTAATTTAGTGAAGATACAAGTTAATCCATAATAAAATTAATTGAATTAGAAATTAAGTTAATAAAAAAAAGTAATTG